TTAATTTTCTAAGTTAGATTGTAAATGATGATTTTCCTCACTCTATTAGCTTACACAACTAGTCCATGCGTATCAAAATATAAGACATTTTTATAGGCTAACCTAGCCTAAAAAATGTCTTATATTTTGGTACAGAGGTAGTATGTGCTAACACGAGTTCGCGGACATCATCAACAACGGGTAGGTCCGGAGCATGGAGCGCATAGAGGTGATGTACGAGTCCATGCACATCGCCTATGCCATTTGCTGCAAGCGATGGCTGCTCTGCATCAATGCGGAGGAGCGGATCACCTGTTCGAGGAGATTGTGGCTGGGGCGAACACGGAGGCGACACAAATGATCATAGACGAGAATGCTACCATCATCATCAGCTCTGCACCACCTGCGACCTGTCATATCGACCATGAGGCCAGATCATCCACGTCGATCGTCAACCTCACCTCTATCAGCGATGTTCATGACTAGGTGGCAGACTCCAACGAAGAATAGGAGGTAGATACAGACATGCCGCGTCCGGCGAAGAGTAGGACGTGGGCCACAAACGTGCCCACGGCCGGAGAAGATTTAAACTATGGTAACTTTTGCTATGAAAAAAGTTCCTCTATTAATAAAAATGTCATGTTTGCTTTTATTTGATGCGCCGAATTGGATGACCGGCTCCGCATCCAAGGGAAGTTTGGTGTGTGTTGATTTGAGGCACGTTCGTTGGAGATGCCCTGACATACATATCTCTACTCCTAATGGAGCAGTTGGTGAATAGTCCGCCGGTTATTTTTCGCTGGGTTTTTTTCGTCTCATCACTTTCGTTGGTTTTATTTCGCTGGTTTTATTTCGTCTACCTTCCACCTGCCTTTTCGCTTCACCACCCACATAAACCCATCAGATTAATTACCATATAAAAAATAAATCACAATCAATCAAGTATTGATAGACCACCCACATAAACCCACTAGATTAGTTACCATATAAAAAATAAATCACAATCAATCAAGTATTGATGGGATATTTCCTTATATTGATGTGATTTTCCCTTTCTTATCATCAATCATCTCTACTGCCTAAAAAAATGCGTAGCTTTCCTTTTCCTGCCAACTGACCGCGTCCCGTCTTCCTACGTCCGCCCTCGTTGCTCTGCCTCCCGCACGAAAAAAAACCTCTCGTTTGACCTCCCCCAAACCCCGCATGATGGAAAAACCCAGCCGCTTGCTTCCCCTCCTCTCGACCACTCCATACGTCCAGATCGCAGCCCCATCCCCATCCTCCTCTCACGTCACGGCGACCGATGGACTGCCGCCACCACCCTCCTACTCTCTCGCCGCCGCCGTCCTCCCGCTCGCTCGCCGCCGCCGTCGCCACCAATCCCGGCGAAGGCGCCGTTGCTGGTATGTCGCCTCCTTTCCCCATTCAAGCCTGACCATGGCAATGGCGCCCTCTCATGTGTCCCGCGGTGAGGTTTGGGGAGGCGCGACCACAATCCAGTAGGGATCTCACCATGGACCCGTCCACTGGGATGGGTGTTGCCTCTGTTGCGAATGGGATCGAAGGGAGGGACTACTTCGTCGTCAAGGTCGGCGAGGCAGCGGCCGATTGGGAGCCTGGTTGTGAACATGGGAGTTCATCCCCATGGAGGCGGCGGCCATGGAGATTGGATGTGAAGCAACCCCACTTGCCGGTGGTGGAGGCTTGCCGTCCATGTGCTCCTTTTTTCTCCCGGTATCCCCATTCCTTGCCTCCCATTACAAAAGCAAGCATGAATGAGAGCAAGGGCTGATTTTCCTCAATTCATTTCTCATATTTTTAGTTGCTTTTTTGAGATTATACAAGATGCTCCCAATCTGTTTTGTCAAATTACTTGGATCATCTTATGGAATTGACAACCATCGTATTTTTCACCTCATGTTATTTCTTAATCCTTGTCCCACTAGGCATCCACTACATGTTTGGTAATGACGTGGTGTTGAGGCGGCTAGGAGAAGCTCAGCAGCCAGATCAAGGGCTATCGAGATGGATCTAGGAGCCAAGCAGTAGTTCTTCTGTTAAATTTTGGTTATTATCTTTTCTATTGTTACGATTGTGGGATGGTTGATTTTGACTCGGTGTAACATTTGCATTTGTTTCCCCAGCTTGTTGGCGTAGATGCGTGGCACTGCGGCAACTAATCAAGAGCGAGGGCAGTGCACATCAGAGTTAAGCTGAATGTAGCGAGCCAACCACGAATTGGGTATGTTCACACGAGGGATGGGAGAGGAGAGGAACATTAACATTTTTCATGATTTGAATGAAAATTTCAGTTCGTGGTTTCTCCGTACGTGGCAACACACTAGCGGTACTCATGGGCTTAGGATGAAAGTAGCGCCAGCAGAATCAGTAGGTTGGATGGGAAGGCGGTTGTTGCCCTTGTCCCTTGGTGCTAGCCTACCGTGGCGGCCTCACTAACTTGCTCATTGCGAATACGAGTTCGTGGGGTCGCGAGTTGCTGCAGATTTGTTTTTATCACTTTTTACAATATTTATTGATGTACCCTAACTCATCGAGTCATTTTTAGCTTTGATTTTGCATATATGCCAGCCTAAATATCACATGGTCAGAATATTAAACTCTTAAAGTTAATTTCCTCAGTTATGGTGATAAATATAATACACATAATCCATATTGTTATGCACTAGCGTGTGTGTGTGAAATAGATGAATTACCGAAAAAGGCTTTCGCCCCGCTTTATATATAAAGCACCAAACCACAAGCATCCAGTACAACCACACGCCACGCCACCACAACACACGCACACACCCAAGACAGGATACATAGGCGCTGAGCGCAGCAACACCACTCCTAGCACTACCGCCCCGAAGAGATGAAACTACATATGACGAACCATGCGCTCCAAGACGGCGCCTTCAGGAAGGATACGACGCTGGAGCGTCGCCACCGCCCGATCCAAGGATCAGAGTTTCCCCCGGAGCCGCATGACGGGCAATGAGAGCCTCGACGACGCCTTCAAGAAGGGAACGATCTTCGCCGCCGCCGGTCCGTCCGAAGATAGAGCAGATTTTCACCTCGGCCCACAATCACCGCCACCGAACGCCACACCCCGGCAACCACGCCGTCCACACGACCATGATGACCGGGCAACACCAAGGCACGGGCTTTGTCCAAGAGCACCACGCAACCACCACCACCAGGGCCGCTGCCCCAACATCCAAGACCTCGACACCACCTCACCCGTGACCCGCCGCTACCCCAACCGAAGAGACGAGTGGAAAGGGCCCGCCTTTTGCACCCCTGGACGACCCCCAGCGCCGAGACCCAATAGGCCGGCCAAAACTGGCCTCCATCGCCTGTCCTGCAGCCCCAAGCGTGAGACGAGCTCCGTCTTGATGTCCGGCGCGATACGAGCTCCGTCCTGCTGCCGGGCGCGAGACGAGCTCCGTCCCGCAGCCCGGGCGCGAGACGAGCTCCGTCCTGCAGCTCCGGGCGCGAGACGAGCGAAGGACCGCAGCTGGGAGAGGGCCAGCCCCAGGACCAAAGTAACGCCCGGGCGACGAGAAGATGGAGCTACGGTCGAAGCGGTCCGACCGCAAACAAACCGACGCCGGAGATAGCCGGCCGTCGCTGCGGGCAGATCCGCCAAACCACAGTGTAACCGCCGCGTCACTGAACCATACAACACCACGGCTGCCCACGGCCGGAGCAGCAACCAAGACGGGCTACTACCCCACCCCGCGCCGCCCGCCGGAATCCAGCCATGAGACCAGGCCGGGCACGCGACCACCCGAAGCCTCTGCTCCGCCGCCACCATCCGCCCCCAGAGAACCAACCAGAGCTGGAGAAGATCGACGGAGGTCCTCCCGAGCCGCCCGCGGCCCACCGACGCCCAGATCTGACCCAGGACGCGGACACGGGCATGCAGCCGCCGCGTTGCAGGCTGCAGCCGCCAGGACGCCGCCGAGCCGCGGCACGACGCCGACCGAAGCCACCGCCACAGCGTCGCCAAGCCCCACGCGCGCCTGACGCCTCCGACGGGCGGGCCACCCCGCGTCGCCCAGATCCGAGCGGAGGAGGAAGAAGCCCCCGCCGCCAGCCACCGCAGGGGCTTTGCCCTGGCGGATCCGGCCGGCGGCGGCGGGGGGAGGTGCGAGGGAAGGGAGGTTAGAGGCGGGGGACGGCGGCGCCCGCCCGAGCCGCCCGCGGGGGAGGCGGCGCGGAGGTCGGGGGAGACTTGTGTTCTGCCGTAATTTGGATGAATTATGGTCTCGTACCCAATAAGATGGATATGTGTGTGTGTGTGTTAGAGATAGGGAGAGGGGGAGATAGAGTGAGGAAGAGGGAGGGAGAGAGTGTGTGTGAGGATTTGATGGTAAAAAAGATCGCCAATATCGTAATATTAAACTCCTAAAGTTAATGTGGCCCCGTTATAACGCACGGGCGTTCTTATAGTAAACGTAGGTTTCACGGAAGAAATTTTGCAAGTTCATCCTACCATCCAAATCCATCCAGATTCATCCCTCGGTTGAACGTGGCTAGACTCCCGTGCTCAAGAACCGGTCCCAAAATCAAGGCTAGACTACGAAGCCCGAAGTAGCGGAGACAAAAACGGCAGCCCGCGCAGAAGATCGAGCGGATTGGTCAGAGGCGCGCCCCGCACGTGACAGGCCCGACAGCGACGCGTCCTGATGCATGGCAACACTCTTACATCTCCATGGCGACATCCCAGCCAGCTCCGCCGTCTCTTTCAGCCCTCTTTGCTCCCACCAACAATATCCCTTCTACGTTTCTTTTTCATATCCCATTTATTTATTTATTATATAACACAAAGGGCAAAAACAATTTCCGTTCCTGCCCACAGACCCGTCGCGCCAGGCGTACAAAGTGCGGGGCAAAGGTGTCATCATCCACCCACCAGGAATTTTGGTTCATGACTTCATACGTCCTAGGTTTCATTTCTCTGTATTCAAATGCAGCTGGTGGCCGCCGAACAACTTTTCTGTTATGGAGCACGAATAATGCTCGCCACGTTATTATCACATCCTGCGCACAGCGCACACACTTCTATTTATACTGCGGGTGGTATCGTGATGTGTTGTCATCGTGCGACTTCTTTGTGCTTCCGCTCGCCCGGGAGGCCATTCATTCAGTCTCATTCAATACACTACCAACTGCGGCGGGCGTTGTGTATTGCTTCACCACCTAATCGCCATGGGCTCCCTCGCCGCCGCCGACGAGCCGCTGCCTCCTCTCCGGTACCCCCCGGCCCGCCGCGACGGCGACATTGTCGACGACTACCACGGCGTTCTTGTGCCGGACCCCTACAGATGGTGAGTGATCTGAATCTGCTCGTAGTATTCGCCCGTTTCCGGGGGCTGGTTTTTGCCGTTTCTCTTCGAGCTCAAAAGCACAGTCGCAAGAGCGTTTCTTCGACCTGCGCATCTATGAACTTTTGACCAGATTGATACATGCCGACCCGAGAGATGCAGGATGTTTGTTGTGTTCAAAAAAAAGAAGAAGAAGGAGTATTCGTTTGCGTTTATTTGCTTGATTCATACGCGTGCATATTGCTATGGCCCATGGTTTGGTGCTGCCAAATATCACTGGAGAAAGAACAAAGGAAGATAGTTCAGTTGGTTCTTTCTCGTGAAAGGAAAATATTATTGGAGGACGTTTTTTCCTTTTCCTTCAAAATTGGCACGGGTTTGGATAGTAGCATTTGCAGCACACACAGTGCATTCATTTTACTAGGAAGATGCAGTTTCATTTTCCTTCAAGCAAAAAGTACGGGTTTAGGACAAGGAACAGTCACTTGGATGTACTTTTATCATTTTAGCACACACGCCACGGTTCTTTTTACTAGAAATGCATAGTTTTTGCTACTACTCCTACACGCAGAACACCCGTTGAATTGAGAATGCACGCACGACGGCAGGAGAATCATTGGTCCATTCATTTCACCGTGGTGGCATCAAGATCGAGTACACCGCTCGTGGCGCTCATGCGCCCCTATGTAGCAAAAGATGCAACCTCCTTGGAGACTGCAGTAATAACACGGCACTTGCTGCTAAATATTTCACCACGCCAGAGGAGGATCACTGCTCCATTCATTTCACCGCTGCTGCACCCAGACTCCCAGAGCACACAGCTCGCGGCAAGCTGTACTGTACGCCACCCACATGCTCCTCTCTGAACCCTTCTGTAGAAGCACACCGAAGCTCGCGCTTTTTACAGTTTTACTGTGCACCTTCGAACCCCTTTGCCTGTGGCGCTGGCTGTCACACGTTCTTGTTTCGTGCCGCGGGTAAGTGGTAACGTACGGGCGTACTGCTTTGCTGGGCTCATCAGGATGGAGGAGCTGGAATCCGAGGAGGTGAAGGAGTACGTGCGCGCGCAGGCGGCCGTGGCCGACGCCGTGCTCGCCACCTGCGACCACCGCGGCCGCCTGCGCGGGCAGCTCACGGCGCTGCTCGACCACCCGCGCTACCGCGCCCCCTTCAAGCGCGCCCGCACCTACTTCTACTTCCACAACCCCGGCCTCCTCCCCCACAGCGCCCTCTACGTCCAGGTCTATATCAAACCGGTGCATCTTTTTCTTCAGTTCAGGGGCAACAGCCGCAGTACTGATCTCCGAATTAATCGTTTGTGCAGCATGGGCTGGGCGGCGAGCCGAGCGTGCTGCTGGACCCGAGCGAGCTCAGCGACGACGCCACGGTGTCTCTCTCCATGATCGGCGTCAGCGACGACGGCGAGCACCTGGCCTACGGCACCAGCGCCAGCGGCAGCGACTGGGTCACCATCAGCCTCATGCGCGTGCGCGACAAGCACCGCCTCCCCGACACCCTGTCCTGGGTCAAGTTCTCGCGCATCGCCTGGACAAGCGACGGCAAGGGCTTCTTCTACTCGCGGTTCCCGGCTCCAAAGTAAGCTGCAGCAAATAGCAGGACTGCAATGCTCTGTGCGTTGCTTAGTAAAATCCATGGGATCGTCTTTTTTTCATGCTTTCCTCTGGTTTTGGTGAGCAGGGACGACGATGGCGCGCCGGAGTCGGGGATCAGGACCGACGTTAATCTCAACCACGAGGTCTACTACCATTTCCTTGGAACTGACCAGTCCGACGATGTCATGTGCTGGAGAGACCCCGAGCATCCCAAGTACATATACACCCCTGAGGTTACAGAGGATGGCAAGGTACATTTGCCACCCAACTTACTACTGCCATGCTCATCACCAATCTTGTTGACACTTCGGTAGCTGATACAGTATATTTTACTGCTTTTGTTGCAGTACGTGCTCCTGTCAGTTTCAGAGAGTTCAGAGCCGGTCAACAAGTTGTACTACTGCGACCTCTCAGCTCTTTCAGGCATGAACGCAAAAGGAACCCACGAAATGCTTCCCTTTGTGAAGCTTGTGGACAAATTCGAGGCCTTCTACGGAGTCGTCGCCAACGACGGCACCCGATTCACATTCCTCACAAACAAAGACGCTCCGAGGTGCAAACTGTCGCGGGTCGACGTCGATGATCCGCAGTCCTGGACCGATGTTCTGCCTGAAGACGACAGGGCTGTCCTAGAGTCGGCGTGTGCTGTCCATGGCGACAAGGTTCTGGTGAACTACTTGTCAGATGTCAAGTACGTGCTGCAGATGAGGAGCCTGGCCACCGGAGAGCTGCTCCACGGCATACCCATCGACATAGGCAGCGTCAACGGGATTACCGGTAGGCGTGGCGATTCCGAGGTGTTCATCGAGTTCTCGAGCTTCCTCACTCCGGGAATCGTCTACAGGTGTGATCTGAGCTCCGGGAGCCCTGAGATGAGCATATACAGAGATATTAACGTCCCTGGGTTCGACCGCACCGACTTCGAAGCGAAGCAGGTACTACATTCTCTTGTCTGAAGAACAAATATATATACCTGAACCGTGTGTGGTGTATTTGCAGTTCAGTTGATCTTGCTTGGTTGGTTTTTCTTTTTCAGGTGTTTTACCCGAGCAAGGACGGGACCAAGATCCCGATGTTCGTCGTGTCGAGGAAGAAGATCGTCCTCGACGGGTCGCACCCGGCCCTGCTCTTCGGCTACGGCGGGTTCGGCATGAGCATGACGCCGCAATTCAGCGCGGCCCGCGTCGTCCTCATGAGGAACCTAGGGTTCGTGACGTGCATCGCCAACATCAGGGGCGGCGGCGAGTACGGCGAGGGCTGGCACAAGGCCGGCTCGCTCGCGAACAAGCAGAATTGCTTCGACGACTTCGTCGCCGCCGGCGAGTTCCTCGTGTCCGCCGGGTACACGAGCCCGAGCCGCCTGTGCATCGAAGGCGGGAGCAACGGCGGCCTCCTGGTCGCCGCATGCATCAACCAGGTTAGCTGGCTGGTCTTAAATTTTTGTTCTGAATTGTTGCAGCTCATTTGTTCCAAAAAAATGAGCGGGGATTGTTTGTGGGTGCAGCGCCCTGGTCTCTTCGGCTGTGCTCTGGCTCACGTGGGTGTCATGGACATGCTTCGGTTCCACAAGTTCACCATAGGTTTGCTTTGCTTTTCTTTCGTCCTGTCCTCAACTGAAAATCACGTCTAGTCTGTTTGTTTCCCGTGCAAGTCGACATCTTACGATGAATGTCTGCCATCCAGGTCGTGCATGGGCTTGTGATTTCGGCTGCTCGGAGAAGGAGGAGGAATTCCACTGGCTTATCAAGTACTCCCCTCTGCACAACGTGAGGCGGCCGTGGGAGAAGGGCGCCGGCGGCGACCAGCACCGCCGCCAGTACCCTCCCACCATGCTGCTGACGGCGGACCACGACGACCGCGTCGTGCCGTCGCACACCCTCAAGTTCCTCGCGGTACGCTCGTCTCCCATACTTACTATTTTGGGTTGAGATCACTATCGAACTGACGATTTGTTGGGTTTTGCACGTACGTCAGACGATGCAGCACGTCCTGTGCACGAGCGTGGAGCACGGCCCCCAGACCAACCCCATCGTCGCCCGGATCGACCGCAAGAGCGGACACGGCTGCGGCCGCTCCACGCAGAAGATCGTACGTACAAACGATGTTCTTCTCTTCTTTTTTTCTCACACACACTACGCTCTCGCCTTGATCTTGTTACCGTGACTGAAATATTGCTCGCTGTCTGCTGCATTTGATTGGCAGATCGATGAGGCTGCGGATCGTTACGCGTTCGCGGCGAAGATGATGGGGGTCTCTTGGATCGATTGAGTTCCATCCCCTGCTCTCGGTCGAAGCCTGGGTGATTGGCAAGGTATACGGGCAATTGTAACTGCAGGCAGCTATTTGTGCACACCTATGGATAGCGACGCAAAGCTTTAGGGTGTTCGCCAAGAAAGCACTGTGTCAATAACAGGCATCTGACGGGATTACCATGTATGCTAATGGTGCTTATGACTCAACATAACCAAAAGAATGAGAACAAATCGTTGTCCCAGCTCGATCCTAGAGTAACTTTATTATCCGCGAGTCACCATATGTAGTACTCCCGTTGTAAACTAATATAAGAGTGTTTAATCTTATATTAGTTTACCCAAGGAGTAGTTGAGAATTGCAGCCGAGCTCTTTCCGTCTCTGCCTTTATATCTGACACTCAAGGACCAATGTTCATGTGGCATGAAGATATTCTCCCATGCCACCGGAACATTTCAATGAACCATCGTGGCGCACACGGTGAAATATGAGTAGTTTTTTTTAGTTGACGCCAAAAGATAGTTGAGAGTTTAATCTTATATCCATCCATTGATCACGACCTGACCCCCGCCTCGCCAACCCTAGGCGACACGGGGGGAGACCGGGCCGTCGGCCGTCGGCACCTCGCCCCGATCTTTCCTCCCGTCGTTGCCCGAGTTCACGCCGGCGAAGCCCGGGCTGTGGGCTGTGACGGCGGCGGCGGTGTCTTCTTCCCTCGCGTGCGGTGGCGTCCTCTCATGGCGGCGGTGACATGGACTTCGATGACCCGGTGGCGTGGTGCCGCGGGATCCCGGCGGTGGACATGGAGGCAGGGACAGCGACACCACGGCCTTTCCGCGGGGTAGGCGCCCCTGTGGCCGCGACCGGAATCTCGGATCTTGCTAGGCCTAGATGGGCTTTGGCGGGCCGACAGATCTGGTAAGCTGCGGCATGCTGGCGTGGTGGGCCTGACAAAGCTGGCTACTTTGGCATCATGATGGTGCCTTGGCCGGTCAGGCGGCGGCGGCTGAATCCTTTTGGTCTAGTCTCCGACAGAGAAGGCGGCGATACGTGCACAAGAAGCTGGATGGAGTTCTTCGAACAGATCTGGGTGAAAACCTGCTCCTGGCTAGATGTCAAAGCCGGCGATGACGACGCTCTACGATGTCGTTCCCTTCTTGAAGGCATCGTCGTGGGGAAATTCTAGACCACTATCTTCTACCTCCGAGGTAAACCCTAGATAGGTAGATCGAAAAACGGCAGCGCGCTTTTGTTGTTTCCCCCTTGCGGGCGTCATTCTTGGAGCTGTACACGTGCTCGAGGGACCAGTGGACGACATCTTTGGTGGAGCGGTGCTTCATCCTACACATTGATGGCGATGGATCTCGATGGCGTGGCGCCCTGGAGATTAGGCGTCTGATGTGAGACGATGGACCCGCGCAGGAGGGTGACGTTGTCTGGCATCATGGTAGCGTCGATGGTAGAGAGGCCTGGCATGTCGATGCATCAGTTTCTGCTCTAAAGATGGATCGATGAAAGAAGGGGGTGACAGGCCTTGCAGTGTGCGCATGTGGTGCCCACTATGAGTGTGCTGGACCGGTGTGTGACGGGTATGTGCCTAGGCTGGGGCATCCTGCTTTAGATGTTAGACTTTGGTGCGGTGTCTGTTTGGTATTAGGCTCGAATATTTGGCACCCCTTCATCAAGGGGATAGGAGTAGCAACAGGTGTTGCCAAGATGATGGCTTAAGGCATACTAATGTATTACTTTTGTAAGGCCTTTCTGAATAATTAATAATATGGTTGCATGCATCTCCTAGATGCAAAGGCCAGGGGTACATCCTCCCTTTCAGAAAAAAAGATAGTTGAAGCCAGTGGCGGACCCAGAAATGGTACAGGCCCTAGGCGAACTGGGTCAAGAGAATCTCTTATAAGGAGGTCTAACTCCTCTCCAACGAACCATGTGGGACTAAACTTTCCACCACATCCATTGCCATAAAACCCACATGGACCCTTCGAGATTTCCTAAAATTGTTAGATGGCCCCTAGGCCCACCTCATATTTCAACATTATAATGGGATCAATGTCACTATCATCCAATAATTTCTTCTTGGTGCATAACATTGGTAAACCATCCAATCACTCTTGAGTCGTTGTTGACCTAAGATAGTTCTTTAGTAATTTCAACTTTGAAAAGCTTATTTCCGCCGATGCAACAGTCACAGATACAGTAAATTACTAGTAAGATGCCCATGCATTTCACGGAACACCAAGATTAGGGGTGGACAACGCCGGCAGCGGCCATCACACCAGATTGTTCCATGGACTTTTGGATGTGGTGGGAAGAGATAAGGCTGATTGTGAGAGACAAGGAGTTGTTTGTAAATATGGAAACAAGTGCGGGCATCTTTTGCAAAAAGGAGTTGTTTGTAAATATGGAAACAAGTGCGGGCATCTTTTGCAAAACTGCAGCAGTTTGCTTTGTATGTGTCAAATCTAGATCCGACGGCTATTTGTGATATATGGCAGGCACACCATCATGACCAACTCGGGTTTTTATAGGAGTAAGAGAGAAGCGATGAGCAATGGAGATATTAGGGAAAGTATCTGCAAAATTTGTGCAACACGCTTCAAGTTCATTATAATTCTGTGATTTTCGGGTGCCCAAGCTAAATAAAATTCAGATAAATCTTTAAACACCATGAATTATTTAAATTTATCTTTCAAATATGTTGGTGTTGTGTCAAATATTGTGTACAAGGTAGGTTACAGTTGGACTATGAGTTGTATTGTGTTTACATAGGATGTGGAGTCGTGTCCTAGTAGAACACTTGTATCCTAGGCCTCTCATATATAGTGGGGGTAGAAACACGGTGTAACCTATGCCAACATAATAGCACATGCGTGCAAGTGGGAGCCGGCAGCGTGTGCTGGCGCCCGGGTGGCCGGTGTGCAGTATTGTGATGGTGTCACGGGAAGGAGCGTCCATAGTCAGGCCCTGGGGATGTAGCCATATAGGTGAACCTCATTAACAAATCTCGGTGTCGTGCTCGTGTGATTTCTTGATCCTCAAACGATCGATGATATGCCTCGGATTTATTCTAACAATTGGTATCAGAGCAAGGTTACGAGAGGCTGTGGATTGATTGATTTAGAGGATGAATCATGTCAGATTCAGCGCAAAGATGGCAGTCGTGAGAATTCATTATCGAAGCTAGGGCTGGTCGGTTTGAGGAATTTCTCTCGTGGAAGCTATCAGTTTGCGGATGGATGGGACCGAGAAAGAATAGCAATCGGAATCGGCGAAATCATGTTGCAGCTGGAGTCCTTGCCATCGGCTAGATCGGTTCAGGCGATCGACAGCGGAGGTGGCGAAATCGTGGAGCGACAGGAGTATTGCGCGTCTCGGAGCGGCACTTCGCTAGAGCAGGCGTGTGCGGGCACGTGGCCAGGTGGCAGCATATGGTCCACTGGGGCGGTCGCGCGTGGCTCTCGTCGAGTCGGGCCGAGCAGGCAGCACCAGGTGGGCCTGTAGGCCAAGGCGTAGGCTCAGTCGGCTTGTATGGGCGCATATGGCAAGGGCCAAGGCGTGGTTCCTCAAGTCGCGACGGACGGGGCTGCTGCATGCATGCTGTACACGAGATTTGTTTGGACAAAAAGAAAAAACATTTCCATTATATATGGTATTGATGTGGCATGGATAACAACACTGAAAGGATCCATATAGTTGACTAGACGGGGGTGAATAGGCAACTAACAATTTTTAGCTTTTCTTTACCGAATTAAACTTTGCATCAAAGTAGGTTGTCTAGATATGCAACTAGGTGAGCAACCTATATGATGCAACAACAACAAGCACACAAGCAAGCAAGGGATACAACACAATATAAGATTGCACAAGTAAAGGTGAGAGATAACCAAGAGTGGAGCCGGTGGAGACGAGGGTGTGTTACTGAAGTTCCTTCCCTTTGAGAGGAAGTACGTCTCCGTTGGAGTGGTGTGGAGGCACAATGCTCCCCAAGAAGCCACTAGGGCCATCGTATTCTCCTCAGGCCCTCACACAATGTGAGATGTCGTGATTCCACTATTGGTTCCCTTGAAGGCGGCGGCCGGACCTTTACAAACAAGGTTGGGGCAAACTCCACAACTTAATTGGAGGCTCCCAACGACACCGCCAAGCTTCACCACAATGGAATATGGCTCCGCAGTGACCTCAACCATCTAGGGTGCTCAAACACCCAAGAGCCATGTTCAAGAATTCATCCGATTAACCAGTTAACTTGTCGATTAATCCCTACTCGTAGGGTCACCGAGTAGCCTATAAACCAATAAATCGTCCGATTAATTGATTAAATGGTTGATTAACTTGCAGATTAGCCGATTAATCCCCTATTCACCAGCCAACCGAGCAGCTACCAGTTAACGATTTCCTCAACAATGCCCAAGAGTAACAAGATCCGCAAGGGATTAGTGGGGGGGGCTCGAATTTCTCTTAGTGGAAGTGTAGATCGGGGCCTTCTCGACCAATCCCTAGAGAATCAACAAGTTTGATTGGCTAGGGAGAGAGATCGTGCGAAAATGGAGCTTTGAGCAATAATAGAGCCTGGGGAGGGAAGAGGTGGTCAACTTGGGGAAGAAGATCCCCCTTATATAGTAAGAGGAAAGATCCAACCGTTACCCACTAACTCAGCCCACGACATGCGGTACTACCGCTCCCGCGGCAGAGACCGGACGAGGCCCTATTGTGTTAAAGCAACGAGCGATAGAACCGCTGGAGCGGTACTACCGCGCGTCCTTGCGGTACTACCGCAAGGCAGGGTTTGACTAGGCTGGGAAGGCATGGACTAATAAAATTACATCTGTGGCTACTTCCGCTGAGTTTCGGTCTATGCAAAAATCCGACACGGTACTACCGCATGCAGGGAGCGGTACTACCGCGTAGGGCGCGAATGTAAAAAATTACTTCTGCGCCTACTTCCACGCACGTCAGTGTGCTAGGCTAGAGGCCACAGTACCGCTCCTGAGGAGCGGTACTACCGC